TTTCATTCAGAATTGAAGTTATTTTCTTTTAATCGAGTGTATTATTTTTGTCTACTCTCCTAAATCTGTACTAACTTATGCAAGAAAAAGTATGTGAACCCCTTGAGATTAACTGGGTTTTCTGCAGTAACTTGCTTTGTATCTCTTTCCAACCTTATGCAGATCAAATACTCTTGATCGTATGTCTTCAAAGAGCTCCTTTTTTGCGAGGCATGGTTAACATCAATTGATTCTTCTCATGAACAGCAATCCTAAAATGTTTGAGTGTGTTTTATCAATCAAAGTAGCTCTAAACTACACCTCCAAACTCATTTCATTTATTGGACTCCAGGTGTGCAAGCTACTGGCTCCAATTAGCTTTTGTTGAAGTAATCAGCCTATGGGTTCACTTACTTTTTCCTCCAGCACTGTGACTGTTTCATGGGTTTGTTTACTGCAAACAAACAAACTGTCAATTCCAAGGGGTTCACATACTTTATCTTGCTGCTGTATTTCCTCTAACAATATTTACATTAAATTCCCCCACTTGAATTGAAAAAAAATATTTTTTATTTTTACAAATGGTGGCAAGTGCCCACTAGAGTGATCTCAACCTGCCCTGACTTTTTCAACAAAATCCAAAAACTTTATACAACCCACCTCCATTTTGGAACTATTCCATTTGGTGTAATGTTTACAATGCAGGGTTGCAGTGATGCTGGAGATCATACTGTATATGCAGATTGGATGTATTCCAAATTGTTGCCGAGTATATATGTGCATACCTTGACAATCAGTGCTACCTCAAATGCAATGGGGTTATAGCTGAATGCAGGGCCATCATCTACACTTTCTCTTAGAGTTCACACCATGTCCATTGAGTTAAGTTTTTCTGCACACCAATACACATGTATGGTGTAAACAGGGCACATAGGAAACCTCTATGATTAAGCCCTGGTAGTGAAACGCGTGAGGGGCATTGGAGTGGGAGAGATACTATGGTGGTGTATACCTAGTATTTTGAACTGTGCATGCAATTTACTACAATAAAGTTGGATTTTTATGGACCTCAGTTTCGTGCGGCTGATTGGAGAGATTGGGCACATAGGAAACCCACAGTTGGAAGAAGGAACCCTTTAAACTCAAAACAATTGGGGCAGTTCACTCAAGAAGAATAGGACAAACTGCCAGGCAGAAAGCACCTGATTGCAAATATTGCCACTAAAAGGTGGACTACGAAATGTTAAGCCAGTAATACGAATACTTATGTCCATGTCATTTTCAGTTATATAGATATATATATATGTATCTATATAACGGAAAATTGTATACTTACCTTCCGTAATTTTCCTTTCCTAGTGCATCGTTTGGCAGTACACCATGGGTTAAGATCCGCCCCTCTTAACCCGCAGTACACATGATAAATTTAGGCTCCTCCAAGCCACACTCATTCTAGTCAAGAGTCCGAGTCATGGCAGGGAGGGTAAGATTGGTGAGCTGCCAATCGATGCACCAGGAAAGGAAAATTACGGAAGGTAAGTATACAATTTTCTGTATTCCTGGGGCATCTTGTCAGCACACCGTGGGATTTAGTGATCACACAGGGAGGGCAATGCCAAAAAATTTATGAAAGGTTAGAGCAACCAGAAACAAGTATGCTCCTCCCAAAGTTAACAGTGGTAAGAAGTGTACTTACTGGAGCAGGTCAGATAACTGAAGGGTCCGCAGGGCGAAGGTAGTCCTCCATCAGCTGTAAGCTGGATCTTACCACGAGCAAGATTATCCCAAACTTTAAAGAAACACCGGCAATGCGCATGCGCAATGTGTCCGAGAAGCCAATGGACGCCATCTTGGAAATCCATGAAGCCAGTACGTAGAAGCGGATACTCACGTAGCCGAGTAGAGCCAGCTGCAGCCAATGAATCCCGATGGGCGGAGACCCCAGCACCGACCTGCCCCAATCAGAACAGGAAAAAAAAACGAGAGAGTTGTACGGGGCGCACAGCCCTAAGGAGAAAGGAATGGCTGAATATCGGCAAATGCAGAGCTTTACACCTGCAGCCTCGCGGTCGGACACCCTGGGTATGGAGTATTTAAAACCATGAGAGCAGGGTCTACAGCACAGGGGAGACTGATCCTGCCTGGGTGGCCACAGAGCGGCAGGTAAGGGTCCCAAGAAGGGTAAAAAAACAAAAAACAATGAACCCATTCAAAAAAAACTGGAAATACATTATCACGGTCCCATGGCGAGGACAGAAAAAAGAATGAGTGTGTCTTGGAGAAGCCTAAATTTATGACGTGTCCTGTGGGTTAAGAGGGGCGGATCTTAACCCATGGTGTGCTGCCAAGATGCCCCAGGAAATATATATATATATATATATATATATATGTACACACACACACACGAAAGGGCCTTATACCAGGCTGACACTATAGTTGGAAGGTTTATGTCAGAGTTTGTCAAAGGCATCATTTATTGCCAGTATTGTATACCATACTGTCATGAAACCGAACATGTAATTGGAATTAATTTTTAGACATCTAATGAGCAGGAATGATAGTCAAATCACATTAATTGGTAACATATATCATGGTCCCAGTGAGCTGAAGACAAATGCCTGTTGTGCATGATGACATGTTGTTTGGAAAAGAATGTCGATGCTCTTGCCACCTACATGTCAGAACTAAGAAAAAGCAAGAGCTGCCTAATATGGCTTCAAGCTGTAGGTCTGACAACGTAATCATAGAAACATGAATTGAATTTCAAGTAAAGTTCTGAATAAAGCTTTCTTCTGCTAGATAAAGCCATAGTTTAATAAGATGAAGGTACACATTATCAGCACACATGAATTCTTAGATTAATATTTAACTTTTGCAATCTTCATGTCAGAGGATGACATTTTCTGTAAAGATTAATGGCATTTTCTCTGGTTTTACTTTGCAATTTCCACTGAAGTTTGCAGCAGGGAGCTTTACAAAAGACAGCTTCTGGCTATTGAGCTGAGATTTCAGATTGTGTGTAGCATATACTGTAACATATATTATGCTCTAGCTGTGTTTAATGTAACCTTATGCCCGGTTTGATCTACAGGTACATTGAAATATTGAAGGAACATAAGCCCAAGCTACTGTGGGACCAGCACATTGCTGAGCATTACCTGGAATATAAAAAGTGAGTACACCACCTGACTGTTTGTACTTTTCAACATTCCAAGTATCAGGATAAATCTGACCTTTCCAGTAGGTGGTTAGGATCATATTCCAGTGATCTTTTCACATAACTTGTCATACACACAGGGAGATAAGATTTGGAACCTGGAATTGTGAAGGTTGAAATGGTATGTATTCAGCCAGATGTAGAGTATTATCGGCTTTTCATATGCAGCTAGGCACTCGCCTCAGGCGCAGCTGCGAGGGGGGCACAGCCTGCAGCTTCTGCTCGGATCCCCACTGCTCTCCCCTGTCTGTATTGGCAAGGGCAGCAGGAATCTGAGGAGAAATGGAGCACTGTAGCCCCGCGGGGGTAAGGAGGGAGTGCTGTCATTCAGAATGGTCAAGCAGTGAGGAGAGATAGCCACTTGGCCAGGATCTGACAGCTAGCCGCTCTCTCTCTCCTCACTGCTCGGCCATCCTGAAGTGACAGCACTTCTCCTTGGCCCCCCGCCAGCTTCGGCGCTCCTTCTCCTATGCAGGTCTGTGCGGGCCCGAGCGGGTCAGGATGGAGAGAGGAGAAAGGTTAATATGTGTAATATTTGTCGATCCTCTTTGGCAGAGCAAACACTGGAGTGACCAGCTGATCACTCCAATGTTTGTAAATAACTGGGGGCACATAATACTATGTGTCCCCAGTTATGAATGAACAGGAAGTGATTTAAATCACTTCCTGTTCATTCATGAGTTTCGCAATGGACAGTAGCACTTAGTACATAGGCTTCTATCCATTGATAACTGGATGATAGTAAATATTTTACTATCACCAGTTTGTTAATGAATGGGAAGCCTCTGTACTGAAGTGCTCTCCATTCATTTAGATGCTGCCGAAAAAGAGATTGAGGACTCTGTGTACTCAATTTATTTTTCTATTTCAAAAAGGAAATATCAGGGGTCTGTTTCGACCCCAGATATTTCCCCGAAGTTCCCCCCCAACAGTAAGAAAAAAATAAACCCCACACACATATATTATTAGACATGTGCAAAGACTAAAAATGTGTATTAGTTTCGTCAAAGGAAACAAATTTTTAGGCTATTTCAGATTCGGCCACAGGTGCGTTCTGCACGTGTGCCGCCATCCTGGAGGTGGGGTGCATTACGTCACATGATGCTGCGCATACATGGTGTCGGTGACGTCACATGTCTGTAGGGGGGGGGTCAAAACTATTTTCTATTCTTGCCTCGGACGCAAAAGGAGCTGCATTGCCAAGAGGAATTAGACACCTACCATATAGGAAGTCTAATTATATTTGTTTTAAGGTGGGAAAATGTGCAATTTTTAACCAATATAGCAGCAATACACATGACAATTTTAGGTACTTTCAACTAGCTTTCAGGTGCAAAAATAATGAACAGTTCAAGGCAACATACCAACAGTTTCAACAGCATGATACATTTGAAATGGTTTGTTACAGGTTGCATTGTTCAATTCAGTTTTTTGTTTTGCAAAGTAAAGCTCTTAATCTTTTTTCAAAAGAAAACATTTCCAAGTTTCAATACAAATTGGCCCTGAGATCTAAGGCTTCTACAAAGAGTTTTGCTTACCCAGGGCATTTGTTTTCCACCCCAGTGATGATAGAGCACCCTTAGCTGGCCCACTATGTCCTCTATTGTCTGAAAACCTGGTGTTCAGAGAATGCCAGAGCCCAACCATGCTTTTTGAAGGTCAGGGATTTCAAACTTTTCCAAACAGAGGGTCTAATGGTAGATATGCAAACCATGCAACCATAATTTTTGTAATATAAATTTACATTTAAATTTCAATTCCTCAACAAGGGGACTTTAGGCCCTGCTTGATTTGGCTGTAAGATATAATTTTATACATTTGTTTTTTGGTGTCTTTCAGCCGCTCTGCAATGGGGACATGTCTTTTGTCAATGCTTAACTTTATTTTTTTTTAAATCTATTTTGCAGGAATAAAGGAGGAAAACATGCAGTGTTTTACCCAACCCTGAAGGTAAGATTTAGCATGCATACAGAGTTTGGACCATCTAAACACTTCTTGATGGAGGTTGTTTAGCATTTGTTTTTGCAGCTGGATCAACAGTTAGATGATTTCCTGGTTATATAAGCCACTTTGAAGTTCATATATCATCAACAGGTAGCGTAGAGATTTGTTTTAATATTACTGAGGGAATGTCCATTTCATTCTCTCTGCTTTCTTTGGCTTTCTTCTTTTGTTGGACTTTGCATATAAGTTATTATTTACCCTTGATAATAATACTGTAGCATGGCTCTTGGTATAGTCAGCCACTGACATTTGTCTACACAGGGTACAATTTTTGGTAATCCTGCAGTAAACAACTGAATGCACAGAAGCAACTTTCCTACATGAAATCATTTTCTTTGCCTGGAAGATATTAAAGGCGATTTACTGAAGGGTTTGAGAATGGCCACACAATAAAATGTGTGACGATTCACTTCAATGATCTAATCATGTGAAAAGAAAATACCTGTTTACATATTTCATCTACACGATTGGACAATTCTCAAATGCTTTAGTAAATCCGCCTCACTGTCTTTTTTGCAGTTGTTTTCTTCCTTAACAAACAGGCTTATGGGAGTACAAAGGGAAATTTAACATATAAAGTAATACATGCCAACTGGATGTGTTTACTTAATGGAGATAAGGGAAAGATATTTTGTAGAAATGAGAAAATTCATGTTTTTCAAATTAATAATCCCGGTATTGTTAAATCACTGGATTCTTGTTCACCTATCCATACAAGAGACTCTGGGGTTGGTTTACTAAATGTGAATAGACTGTTCACTTTGCAAGGGAATTTACCTTTAGCTTAGTGAATGTGGTTCAAATTCACTTGGAGAAAATTCCCTTGCAAAGTGAACAGCCTACTTGCTTTTAGTAACTCAACCCCTACGCAATCCACCATCATTTCATGCTTTCTTGGGGAATGAAAACTACACAGGAGGTGTTACTAAACATCAGTGTCATTTAAATGCACTCTTTAAAGCAGGGGTAGCCAAACTCCGGCCCTCCAGCTGTGGTGAAACTACAAATCCCATGATGCATCTCTCTCCGGGAGTCATGTCTGTGGCTGTGAGAATCTTGCAATTCCTCATGGGTTTTGTAGTTCCATCACAGCTGGAGGGCCAGAGTTTGGCTAACCCTGCTTTAAAGAGTCATTCCACCCGTGAATTGTATTTTAGTTACAGTGATGATAGAATACAGTATAAGATATAGTTACCTATCCTGTCCCTGACCACCTCGGAGTTTTGGGTGTTCTTGCCCACCGTTGTGTGTTCCAAATCCTTCTATTGTCTTCTTGGTAATAATAAAATAAATGTAAATATATCCAACAGGTGCAGTGGGACTTCAAATGGCCACCACAGGTGTACAGACGTAGAAACTCATGAATAGATATTTTACCAATAAAGTCCCAGAGACATAAGACACAGGTGACTGTCAGGGGATTTAACCTTTTGGAATTTTTCAAAACTGAAATACCAGTTTTGAGTGGGCTGACCCTTTAAATACCCCAAACAGGTCATGTTTTTAGGAGATTGTGCTGCAGATTTCATTTGGTAACAGGATTAAATATTCCACAATTGTCCTCATCAATGTAAATCCTTGAATATGGCACTATTGGAGGTATCTAAAGATTCGAGTTAAGAAACACTGCAAACGTGAACTCAAAATAAGATCCACATTGAACATTATGCTGGCAAAGAGTACTGTGTAAAATAGCAGTTGTATTGGGAAATTATTTCATCACTAATCAGGTTTTATGTTTTGTATTTGTTTCTTTGTTACTAGAGATTATATTGACATGTGGTTTTATATTTACCAGTCAATACAGGTGCGGCTGGACCTTGCACAGGAGCTAGGAACTGGAATATCCATTTGGGAGCTGGGACAAGGCCTAGACTATTTCTATGACCTATTATGATAACGCTATGGATGGACTAAGGCCCACTTTAATAAAAGCAACATCTTCCAACAGACTTCTAAAGCAGTACTGGTCAGCAGGTAGCCACAGAAGATGGAAATGTATTAATTTAGCAATATATTGCTTTTTCAGTCCAGTTGCTCTAAGGGACCTCCAAGCATACAGCAGCATGGGATTTTGATTGTACTTTTACTTTTTTTTTTCACCCTATCCACTAAGATTTACTTTAGTTTCACTGAAATAATCTGGTAGGGGAGCGTTTTGCAATATATGATGAGATTGATTCATTTTTTTCCTAAATCATTTTAATGGTTGTTTCTTTGACTTTAACTGATTGGTTCATACCTGGGTAGTACTCATTCTTACACATGCAGCATGGCAGGGTTTTTATGTTAAAACTATATTGTAGCACATGCCAGCTGACCTTGGCATGCCAACCAGTTGCATATAAGAAGATGGGTAAGTTAATTTACTCTATGCCTTTGGCTTTATTCTCGAAACTGTGATCTATGAAGCGCCTTACTAGCCTTTTTGTAATCAGACACGGGGATAAAAAAATGAAATGGACAGTTGGAAAACCATTTTCAAAAATATTTTTCTTTTGATTGAATAATGCTGTAACTTTCATTTGAACATTGTAGATTTTTATATTCACATACAGGAGAAATGATTCAATTTTCAGAGAATGTGTGTATTTCATAAATCTGAACCATAAGTCAAACAATAAAAAAGGGGACAAGCCTGTGTTGATGTAATCATTAGTCAAAACTAATTTCAGTGTTGTCAATAATTTGAAACACTACAGTTACAAATCTATTTATAAAGGTTGAGTAAATGTGGGCACAATAAACTACTTATACATATAGAGATGACTGATGAAGGTGAATGTCAGCAAATGCACAAATGCTGATAAAGAAATCATGAAACTCTATGATGACCTCTTCACAGATTGACAGATATGCATCAATCTCCAACTGCATATATATAAAAAAATATTCTTGATAAGTCAGTAAATGAATGGTGAATCTGGCATTTCACCCATAAAGTATATCTAAACCCAAAAACCGAATGTAACGTATTGCTGCTTACCATTCCTTAGATGTGGTGGCTACAATAGTTTCAATTTTTAAAGCTTTTCACCTGTTGATCCTGCCAATAACACACTTACTGTTCTAGGGTGCCAATGCTCATTCATTGCACTGTATCTATGGAGGAGCAGCATTGCCATGCTTGTGTTTAATCACACTTAAAATAGACCCACAATTGTTATACATAAATATGCAAATGAAAGCTAATCTGTAAATCGATCCCTTGTGGATATCATGTTCTTGTTGTATAGACTTTACTGTACGTTGATTTGTCCAAAAGTTAGTGATCACAAATGGTGGCTTTCATCAAACCCATCTTACAAAGGTATTTAGCTTAATGACAATTTCCCAACATTTTTGGCACTTATAGAACATGGTTTACAGAATTCCAGGTGGAACTGTAGTCAAAATAATACCCCCTAGAACCCTGCACCCTCTACTCCCTTAAAGTCATGGAGGGTAGAAAGTGGCATGAAATGCTACTCCAGGATCCAGCTATGAATGGTCTGTTATGGTTATGTTACCATATCTAAGCAATTGGTGCAATTTCTGCTGAAAGTAGGATTAGAGTTGAGGCATAGATTTGCTAATCTCCCTTCCTCCTCGTAAGCAGAAGGTCATGTGACTAGCCACCATTGGATCTTAAAGTAATTGTCTCTGCAGCCAAAGTATTTCATGGCTTCTGCTACCTTTTATGACTTTATAGGAGCAATGGGTGCTGGTTAGCTTGGCTTCTCAATTTGTCTGTAAGTCCATTCACTTAGTGGCACTAATTATTAATCGCTAAATGAAGTGGAAAGACTCACATCTCCACAATGATAATAAAACCACTTGCTACAGAATTCATACTAAAACAAATGTGTGATACGTATGTTAGTGCTCTCCTCTGACTTGGAGGAAACATTTGCATGGACAATTGTAAAGGACACGCCATTTAGTAATACGCTGGATTGTAAAGAAGAAATGTTGCTTCTGAGGGAGGTAAAACAAGGGAAGAGATTGCCCCAATTTAACCATGCTTTTTTTTTGTTTTAACTCTTAATACCTGATCATTTCATTTCATGCACATAGAAGAAGCAAGTGAATAGTAACCACAATGAAGTAGGCTGTATTTGCTGCAAGCTCATACATTCATTGCACGTAATGTAATTTGTACAGGCCAGCCCAGTTAGGATTGATAGTTCACTTGGATCGTAATTCTCCCTGCCAGTGTCCTTGTAAGGCCGTCGTTTTCTTCGGCTGCTGAGCAATCATTTTCTACAGCCCTAATGCCTAAGGTGTTTAACCCATACAATGCCACTGTGGTCTTGCATAACAGTGTTTAATGAAGCAATGGTAAAAATGTTAAGTCAAGGTTATGACAGAACTGGCACGAATAGCATTACATTCTTCTAAAAACGCAGCTATGTGATACGAAGTGGTGAGTATCCTTTAGGCTCATGAACATCCATTACATTACAGCTGTCAAAAGTAAAGCGGAGAAGGCTACTAAAGCCCAGTGGAAACAGTTTTTAATTTCGACATGCTGCATATCTGCATACAGTATGTAATTGGAATGTAGTGTAGTGAAATGGGCCAACCATATATATATTTTTCCCTAAAATTAGCTTTTTTTTTAACTTATAATACTGGAGTTATGTTATATGGACATTTTATATAGAAATATGGTTGACTTATGGTATTCTGTTTGTAATAGACATTTACTTTACCTGGTATGCATGAGACATGGAAATAACATTGCCCTAATAATCCGTGTTCTACATTGTCTCTTCTTCACACTGCAGTATTTTTCTTTAAAAAAAAAAAATCATAACATTTGACGGTCCTAGTCTTGGTGGGAAGTCCCAATTTATTTCATTGTCGTGGTAGCCCAGCTTTTGTCAATAAAGTTTACTGCATCCATTTTGTCATTGGGATAAAGTTCCAATTTCAGCACGTGTTAATCATGGACAGCTCTCTCCCTCTCTCTATACACATATACATATCCACACTCAGCCAGACTCTCATCTTAGCATTCAGTGTGTATACAGCCAGTTTGAAGAGAAGATTCTGCTCTGTGTACAAACTGAAGGTTAGCAGGAATAATGAGGCCTGAAAGCATTGATCACAGTGCAGTGTGAGGAGTTTGTCAGATGAAATGCATCTCAAATGCAACTCACAAACGTTTAATACGCCTGTCAGCTCGCTGAATAAACACATCTTCTCCAGCCCAGAGGAATTCATACCTGCTATACAAGATGTTTAACTGCTTTTCCTCCACGTACACACTATAGTGCTTCAGAATCTGCCATTTTCTGCAGCGATTCTCTGGTGAGGTTGCACTCAGGCTAGGAATACCGTCATCTAGGAGTTAAGAATCAGGTATAATTCTGGATTTGGTTTGTATTCAGAAATATGCTGTCCAGATGGCTGAGCATCCTTTATTTTGTGAAGCCTAAATACCACAAAGCTTTGTCTTTGACAGCTTGTGCCCTATTTGTGGCATGCAGTCTAAAGACGCCAGCAGGCTCCATTGTTCAGCCACTCAAATCACAAAGTTTGAGAACAACTATTTTTTTTGTGCCTGCAGTCATTTACACCAGCATGGGGCTTATCTACACTGATTCACAATGCATGCACACATAGGTAGTACCTACACAGATAGGGGAATATAGGGGAATATATCAACTGCTCCAGATTCTGCCTGCTTCAGCTTTATCTAAGGCAACCAATAAGCTTCTCTCTTTAGTTTGTTTGACTAAGATTTGAAAATGAAGGCAGGAAGCTGATTGGTTGCCCTAAACTGGCCATACACCTATAGATTATCTGCAGATTTTCTATGGTCAGATGGAAAAAGCGCAACATATTCCTCCATCTACACTAATCTGTATGGATGGAGGAATCTCCCACTGGACCAAGCTTCAATATCTTGCTAATTAGCCCCACTGGCTCTCATACCTGAACTATCTGATTGGATGCAGGCATTGTTCAAGTATTTTGAGAGCCAGCGGGGCCGACTAGCAAGATACTGAAGCTTGGCGCAGTGGGAGATTCCTCCATCCACACAGTTTAGCGCAGATGGAGGAATTTGTTGCACTTTTTCCATCTGACCACAGAAAATCTGCAGATAATCTATAGGTGTATAGCAAGCTTTAGGCAACTGCTCCAGATTCTGTCTGCTCCAGTTTTGATAAATTCACCTCAATGTACTGTATATAAGTATCTCTTTTGTAGCTATGACAAAGAATTCTAAGTGTAATGTTTTCAAGGTCGGTATTAAACTATAGAAATAATGGACTGTGATACCTATGCATTATATGTGATTCCTGCTGTTGAGAGGATATTCTGCTGCAGATAAAAATTCCATAAATACAGCAAGCCTAAAGGCTGCAAGTTACAATTGAATAACTGCTCTTCATGTTAGATATGTTTGCGTGTAAGTGATGCCTCTTACAAGTATCCAGAGCATCTAGTCACTGGCATCTGGTTACTTAAGAAGATTTGACTAGTCAAATAACACAAATATTAAATATGTAATATATATTTATGGAATGATACGGTACTTTGCATTCCGTGCCTTCCCAATGCTACCTGGTATCATGCACACAACATCGCTCAGCCCCATGTTAGTTCCTAAATGACAAGTTGTTAAGAACTTAGAGGTTACAGATTGTAAATGATGCTGAAGTGTATTGTTTGACTTGACAACACAAACAGAGAAAAAGACAGGGATGTAGCAGAAACACTGCAGTATAGTAAAGAACAAATGTATTCTGCTATAAGGCTTCACACAGACTGTTGGTAGGATGTCCCTGTAGACTGTTGGGTTAATATGTGATAGTGTTTTGGCTTGAGGTGGCAATGTTCTAAAAAATACTATATATTGCAGTGCAGTACAGAGAAATAAATAGCTTTTGCTACCTGTACAGGCTTATGATTCATCCATCATGTCCTATTAGTAGTGTTGTATATGAAATGATGTTTCTGTGCACTCTGGGGGCCCTTAGAAAATATTTCTGTCCATACTAGCAAGCAAAATGTGGACATTCCCCTTTAGACAGAATTTTAAACAACCTGTAGACCTAATATATTGGTTTGCAATGAATACTATTTACAGGTCAATAATAACTTTCCCATTGCTTAAAATAATAAAGGTAAGCCTACCCATTATTCAGATGTCAGATCACAAAAAGGTAATTGGATTTAAAGTACATGATACAGAATCTCTTTATGGATTAATAACATTGGACTTCAAATTCTTTTCATGTGCTTTCTTTCCCCAGAAGGATGAGGATACATTCTAGAAACTTCTGAAAGCCCCCCTTCGTGCATAACTTGCCTTCAGTTGTGTTTCAGGCAAAGGGAGAGCAGTTCTTACATCAGGAATCATGTAAGATGTAACATTTGACTGTTATATAAATAGATAGCTTCTAAGAAGTGGTCCTTGCTCCTGGCACATTTGATTTGTAGGAAAGTCGCCCGTAGTAGGTAGACCAGGACAGGAGAAGGTTTTTGTACATTAGACGGTATGCAAACAGATTTATTTGGCAATTCTTGCAGATAAACCTGAGCTATCTATAATATGCCAATTCAGCTACATTTCCCTGAATCCACCTCTCTGGAGTCAGACCAACGGGCAATAAAGAGAGTTGATGTGCATAGCTTTCTTGGCATATTATATCCTGCATCTTACACCTCCTTTAATCCTTTCAGCTGCCGTCTTGCGTGTTTGGAATATTTTCTCTTCGTTTTAATGTAAGACATAAATCTC